AATAAAGGCAGAGTAACTGCGTGGAGGTGCCTATCCTGTGAATCAACCAAAGGTGCTCAGCACGTAAGACAGTACAACCAGTGAGATAGTTTAAGATGCTAAGACCATGAGTATCAGGAGATAATATGCTTACTACTATGTGATCAAAAAATGATTCGCTCACCTCAGCAATTGTCTGAATCCTGACAGACTGGCTCAGGGCAATAACCATGTGGGACTTCTGAAATCTATCTAACATGGATAAGCATATACTGCCTTGCTCTTTGTAAAGGGATAGCTGAGAAAACATGGCTATAATGGCTCCATAGTAAATAAGTCATCTGTCAAGGTCTCACTCTTTTTGGTACTGTCCATCTGCGTATGTTTCATTATTCTCAAAGAGCCAGTCGTCTCACTGGTTGCAGTTTCAATCAAAATTTTTAGGACAACTTCAGGCCTTCATAAGGGTATAATGTTAATGCTAGTTAGATCAGCACATAGGGCAATGGCACCGGGGCATGTTTATGAAGTTTCCCTACTTGATGAATACATACATGATGAAACCACAATTTTGAGTGCTGCCTGAACCAAAGCCAATTGAAAAGGGTGAGAATCAATCAGGCCTCTAAACATGACCAATAGTTGTGTTGCTGGAGAAGGCAGTCCACCTAAAACTGGACCCGCCAGCGCAGGAGCAGTCACAAGATGAGTATCTTTACAAACATGTTCTGGAAGCAGAATTCTATTTCAATTACATACACTAAGATACTTGCTGCAATGGAGGGCCAGGGAACGTATTGAGACTGAGAAGCATCTAAGCAGCTTGAACCTAGGAAAGAGAGTCTTTAAAAAAAGAAAAAGTTCAGATGAACTTCTCTTGTGCTATTGGTCTTGAGATCGCTAAGAAGTGCATTATCTCTGTGCAGTAGACCGCCGGTGACCTGTGTGTGTATTCACGGAGTTGTTAGGAAGGCCTGACAGCAAGAGATCAAAGGTGATCTACCAGACATGCACTTGCAGTGTCCCAGGCGCTCCCTGCTCCTTGAAGATAAGGAAAGAATGTCTCATTAGTGTGTTTATTCAGACATATGCTTGCCATAGCTTGGCTCCAGAAACAAAATTTACTATTTCTATGTATAACCTCTGTAGTGTTTTAATTTCTGTAATGTTTAATGTAGTCGGTGACTAGTGACATGTAACAGCTCACTGTGTAGGGTACAAAAGGAGGAACAAATAAAGATCTGGGTCTTTGCTCCTCAAAGCTCTGACCTCCTGTGCCTATTTTGTCTTTCATTTCTTAATAAGTCCCTCTCCTAAAGAGACCCCCAACGAAGAAGTTCAGAACAGGTGCTTCAAACAAGTACATCCCTTTCCCATACTTGCCCAGCATTCTTCTGGATTGAATATAAGATATGCTTCTAAAGCCTGCTGCTCCAGGCCCTTTACTAGTGTATCACAGTCTTTTGAGTTAAAATAAATTTTAAATTCATTGTCATACCTGACATTTAAAAACTGAATAATAAATAAGCTCTACTACAACCCACTCATCAGGCACTAATAAAAACCATGGGGGAGGCAGTCTGGTGTGTTGTTTCCAAGGCTAGCTCTTATTTGTGCTCATAAACTTCTCTGTTAGTTCTCTGTGGCCACGATAACAAATCACCAAAACCTTGGTAGCTTCAAACAACAGAAATTCATTCTCACAAGACCAAGTCATTTTCCTAGGCCAATTGAAATTGACTGGAAACTAGGCTAAGGCTAGCTGGGAAAGTAGGCCTAACTCGTTATTTACAAAATCCCAGGAGGGTGTGGCAGACTATCTGGGGAAGTAGGAATGATATGTTAATTATAAAATCCCAGTAGATATGCACAGAGTAATTCCCAGAGCCCTGCACAAGGACTTCTTAGAACTCCAGCAGATTTTCAATAGGTTGACTGCTATTGTCAATCAATGTAAAACTTTGCTACCATTTCTGCTTGTCTTGACACAGAACCTTCAAAACACCTCTAGAAGACTCCAGCATCCCCAAACCCAGTAACAAAATCAAGTGCATACTCCCTCTGGAGGTTATCTTCATGAATGTATTTATCTTCCAGCTTCTGGTGGCTGCTTCACTCTATAACCTTCAGACGTTATCTTCAAATTTCTGCTTTGTCTTCACGTCTACTTCCTGTCTGTGTGGAATCTCCACCTGTCTCTGTTTTATAGGAATCTTTTGATTACAATTAGGCCTAGTGGAATTATCCAGTATAATCATCTTCCCATCTGAAATCTGTTAATCTTGCCTTGTGTGGTGGCTCACACTTCTAACTGCAGCACTCAAGGAGACTTTGGCTACAGGATTGCAGGTGTGAGTTCAGCCTGGGCAATTTAACAAGACCTTGTCTTAAATTTTTTTTTGGTACTGGGGTTGAACTTGGGTCCTTGCACTTGAAGGCAGGCACCTGAACCACTGAGCTAAATCCCCAGCCGCCTTGTCTTAAATTTTAAAAAAATAGAAAAATAAACAAGGTTGGAGATGTAGCTCAGTGAGAAGGCCTTAGGTTCAATCCAGTTTTTTTTAAAAAGCACATGACACTGCCAATAAAATTGCAGACATGGAAATGTCCCATATCTGTGTTGCCCCAGCCTCACACAACTATTGAGCATTTGAAATGTGGCTACTGCCAACTGAAGAACTGAAATTTTAATTTCACTTAAATAGCAACATTACTAATGCTTTTATCATACTGGACAGCTACAGTTCCAGGATCTATAATTCTAAATTCTGAAGTACCCTAAAGTTTTCTCCATTGTTTAATCCCCTGGTTAGAAGACTGTTTTTATCTTTTACCTGCTAACAGTCCAACTTCAAACTTTCTTGTACTAAAAACCTTTTTTACCTACAAAATCTGGAAAAACAAGGTGACTCGGCCTAAGCTGGTTGAAGTAGTGTAGTGGGATAGAAAGGAGGGCCCCAGGCCTCTACTTTCTCAACCAACTCCAGTAACTCCAGGGAAAGAACCACCATGAGGGCTCAATGGAAAGAAGTGATTTGTGAAATCAGCAATTACTCTTGAAAACTATTTGCTAGATCCTTGTCACTTTATACACCCTGTATAGCTTTATACCTTTCATTATGACTATCCCTAGAAAACACTGGCATCCCTTCAGCCTGTTGTCAATTGATCATTGTTCATGTACATGGTATCTTGCACACTCCTTGTTCTACCAGAGCTCAGGGATTTCTCAAATTTGCCTAGCTAGCATTACAAGGAAGACACCTCATGTAGGCCTTTTTTGCCTACCAATACCCTCTTTTTTCCACCTTGCTAACAAGTCAGTTTTGTCATTGCTAAATAGCACTAAGAGAAACTAGTTTACACTGGAGCCTCTATCAGTGAATCACATAGCATTAAAGAAACCTGGTATTCTGCAGTAAATGTTCAGGTCTATGGCACGCCACCCTGAATGCACCTGATCTTGGCTGATCTCCAAAGCTGAGTATCAGGCCTAGTTAGTACTTGGGAGAAATGTTCTGTATCCCTGTGACTAGAGAAATGTGCATCCAACTGTGCTATTTGGTCTACTTTATTCGTAGCTATGTTCATACCTGGAACAGCACAGCTTAACTACATTATACATTTTAGTTAAATGCCTTGTTACTTATGAATACTAAAACTAGTTACATAAATACTAATAGAAACATTAGTGTTTGTTCCAAATCGTATTGACCTTCAGAATTGTAAAAATGATTAAATAGTACTACCACATCTATTGAATACTTGCTATTACGAGGCAGTTACATATCATACTTGATTTTAATCTTGACTATAGTTAAAAGGTCTAAAATCACATGGAAGGGTAGGATGTGGAACTAAGCCTTTACGAAGCAGGCAGCAGACCAGAGCTAAATCTCCAGCCTTTCGAACTAAGTCTTTACTATATGCTACCCCTATGAATAGGTACTGCAAGCCACACAAAAGCTGTATTTCAGTTCAAAGATTGTATGAATCCTGAGACTCAAATATTTGAGAACCTAGAATGTGGTAATCTTTATGGACCAGTACTGTATCAGTAATCCAGGACCAACGGAACGAGGAGCAGGAACTTGGGCAGTGTATTACATAACTGGACAGTGTAGTTTCCCTAAGGCTACAACTGCATGCTATGTAAATTCAGATTTGAAGTACTCACGTATAGGAAGGACTGATGGGGAAGTTGGTTTGAGAATTTCTCTACAGCTTCAATTTTCAAACAAATCTTTGAGATGGCTTCACCATGCAGTCCAGGCTGGCCTTGAACTTGGCAGCCATCTTCCTGCCCCAGGCTCCCAAGTGCTGGAACTCTAGGTGTGCACCACTCACCTGATGGTACAAACCTTTAAACACATCCTTCCTCAGTGCCTTTGTGCTTTTCCTTTCCCCAAACAGTTCCTCAATTACATATTGGCGATCTCGCACACTTACATCCCTTCTGACTGGTTGCATCTCAAACTGTGAACGCCTCCCCACCATTCTGGTCCCGGCAATGACAAAGTTAACATTTACTGAATGAAATCAAGTTTAAATAGAGAAGGACAGAACAATGTGATTAAATAAGCATTAAGGACACCAAATAAATACAAAATATCTTTATTTAAAATTTCTGGAAAATGAGTTACATGCAATTGGCATACAATATAGTGAAAAATAATCTCAAATTGCTAGACATGCAGAGTACAAGGAATGAACCTGTACGTAGCAGGCTTCGAGCATCTTGCCAGGCTTTCATTTCTTCCCATATGAATAACTATCACCTGATACTTACATGTTCTAATCTAGTATCATGTACTTCAGATCCTTTTTACACATTATATCATATACATTTAAAAAATCAACATGCTGACAGATGCTCCTTTTGATACAAATTTTGGTAAACCAGATTAATGCAATTAAAATATTATGAAGTGTTGGGCCAGGGCTTTAGGTCAGTGGCATCACGCCTGCCTTGCAAGTGCAAGAGTCTGAGTTCAACCTGATACCATATTATGAAGTGTTGGGCCAGGGCTTTAGGTCAGTGGCATCACGCCTGCCTTGCAAGTGCAAGAGTCTGAGTTCAATCCCTGATACCAGGAAAAAAATATGAAGTGCTTATAACTTAACAGCTGTGTGGTTTTGCTCCCCCCAAACTGGATTAATCTGCTTAAATAAATATCTACTGTTATACTGAGACATCAAATGTCAAGGCATCACCTTACTCACATAGACACAAAGTCACACGTGAGGCTCCTTGCTCAGAGCTACTCATAGGTAGTGGGATCCCGAGTTCCCTCCTGACCATTTCTTTATCTCTAACACGGGAGAAAAGTACCTACCTCAGAGTCAGTAAGGTAAATGCAAAACGATGCCGTCACCAGCGGCACTGCCTTACTGCTCCAACTCCTGTGGCTGTGTATGGATACATTTCGGACTCACTCGCCTCATGTTCAAATCTGTTGTTAAAATGCTTTGTACAGTACCATAAGAAATGTTCAGATCCTCAGAAATTTTCCTAATAGTCAATCTCTTGTTTGAACGAATCATTTCGCTTACTCTTTCAACATTTTCTCGGGTTTTTGACGTTGAAGGACGTCCGGATCTCTCCTCGTCGTTCACAGATTCACAACCCTTACGAAATCGCTCAAACCACTTGTAAACAGTCTTTCTGGTCACTGCGGCATCGCCATACACTAATTTTAACATTTCATGTGTTTCTTTAGCACTTTTTTGCAGTTTGAAACAAAATTTCATGTTAATACGTTGCTCATGATCCATCATTTATGGGACTTTCAAAAAAACACTCCTCTCAACCGTGGCTCAGACTGACTGCCCCAAGCAAGTTGAAAGGCGTCACACACTATTACTAAGGTTCGACGTACTCTTCTATTGAAGATCCCTGTCCTTTTGGATGGCCGAATGCCATCCAACAACATTCACTGTTTTTTTAGCCACACCTGGTACTTAATGTCTCACCTCATTAGAGGCACTTTTCCCTTTTAACTATAGTGACAACTGGTGTCGGCTGAAATACCAGCACGAGTACCCCCGCTTTAGTGGCTTGTACAGGCAGCATTCACCCTATAAAAAAACGAGAAGTTTTAAAATGACCCTTTGAGAAAGTAGAATACATTGAAGTTTATTTTTTCAGTTTGTCTCAATGCATTTCTAAAAAAAGCCTTTAGTACACGTTCTAGTCTTCTGTATTTTTACATTTTAGAAGACTAAATATACCAGGTTATGAAAACACCTGGTAACCCAGACCAGCCTAGTGCTGGCCAGAAGGTACAGAAACAAAGGTTAGTTTCCAATATATCATGTACTAACATCAGTGATGTTTATAATTAATAATATTTCTTCTGGTTCAGCTGTTACTCCAGACAGGATCCAAAGAGGAGTTTCACGGTCTCTTCTCTGGGTTTTATGGAGGCTTCCTTTACCCTTCTGTGTTAGCCTCTTAAGGCACTGGGTCAACCTTAAAAGGGCACAGGAAAGGGCGACTGAGAGTTGTGTTTCGTTTACAAATCTGAAAACAAACTAAACGCAGTTGTTCCGCAGTTGAGTTCGTGAACATAAATTTCCTTTCCGTTAACAGAGCGCCAGTTTCGGGGCCTCTGCATAAACCATGAGCTTGGGAACCCTCTCCTGGCCAATGGTCATACGCTCAAGGCCTGACTCGCTTTATTTCACCCCAAATTAGTGACATACCTGCACTTGAACTCCTAGCCGCTGATCTCCGCATATGCAGCAGAAAAACTTGGGGGACCCTGGTCCGGGTTCCTGCACCCGCTGGCGAGGCCGACCAGGAACCCGCTAAGATGTAGAAGCGGATCCTCCCTGTGGAAACAAGGCGCAAGCTTTTCACGGCGCCTTGGCAGGCTAGAAGACACTCACCGTCAACCTCCCGGGACAAAAAGGGCGGGCACCCTCTCACTGCGCAGAGACTAGGAAGGCGACACAGGGCGGGGACGGATCAAGGGACGACCAGCCAATCCCTGTGAAGACTCTAGGCAGGGCGGCGGGGCGGGCAAAGCTCGAGGGGACTCGGGGTGAACCCAGACTTCACCGGGGCCCACAGGCCGACCGGGAACCCACCCAGCTGAAGGCTGCAAGGCAGAAGACACTCACCGTCAACCTCCCGGGACAAAAAGGGCGGGCACCCTCTCACTGCGCAGAGACTAGGAAGGCGACACAGGGCGGGGACGGATCAAGGGACGACCAGCCAATCCCTGTGAAGACTCTAGGCAGGGCGGGGCGGGGAGGAGAGCTGCAGGACGGGAAGCCAATCGCCACAAGCGCTCAGGACAGAGGCGGGAACGCCCGGCTATTGGCTGTCATACGTCTTCCGCTGGGGTCCTTGTGGCCCTCGCTGGAGCAGGGGGCGGGGTCGTCCACCCTTCCGGCAGCGGTTTTTTGTGGCTCCGCACGAGTCCCAGTCTGTGGTGACCGTATTCTCTCAGGCCGGAGTGCCTTTCTCGGGCTTAGTCCTGGGAGGTCCTGCGGCTGCGTGTCAGCCCCGAGATTCCCTTTCCTAAAGCTGAACTAGACAAGTGTCTGTGCCGTGCTTCTGCCACGTCTTGTTCGACAAGATCACCCACGTGGCCTCTCCTAAACTTGGAAAGATCAGTCTCTTTCCTCGAGGTCCCAGTTGATTCATACACACTGTTCAACAAGTAGACTAATCATCAGGGGATGAGGTGGGCCACCACAAGCATCCTCAGGGTAACTGAGTCAAACTCGACAAACAGTAAGTAGAGTATGTGCCAAAACGAACAGTTCCACAGTTTGCCATGTTCAATCTTCAAAATATCTTTTCCTTTTTATGGTTTAGATCTAAAATGACCCCCCAAAGCTAGCTATAGCAGACTTGCAGTTAGGTGGGTCCTGTCAGAGAATGTGGGTTGCTGAGTTGTGCCATGGTAGGGTTTATCTCCCTCTCCGGTTCCCTTCCTCCCTTTTTGCTTCCTGGCCGCCATGGCATAAACAGCTCTGCCGTGTGGCAAGCCCTTCCACCGTGCTGTGTTCTGTGTTTGAGCCTGCTGAATATGGACTGCAGGTTCTGAAACAGGAGTCAAAATATACCTCATTTCCTTGCAATTGTGGGTGTCGGACATTCTGTCCCAGCTAGGAGAGAGTGACTAAGACGATCCCCAAATTGTACTTGCAGAGACAGGTACGTTAAGCAATTTGGCCAAAATCATAGAGCAGCTAGCAAGTTCTGGGATTTGAATGCAAACAGTCTGAATGCAGAGCTCCTCAAAACACTATATTGCATTGCTTTTCTCTGATGTGTTGGCTACAGCAGGAAGAGAAACTAAATATTAGCCTACATTTGGTCAAGATAGGTGCCTCTGGTGGGGATGGAGAAGGAACAGTTTGCCTAGAGTCCCGAGGTAGACTACCAAAGTGCTTGAACTGTTTAAAAACCGAAGTGTAAGTAGAATTTAATGTGTGATTTGAGATGGGAGTGGCTTGGGGCCAGATCTTGCAGTTTACATTTTATACCAGTGGTGGCAAACTTTTGGCACAAATGTTACTTGTTTTTATTTTAAGACAACAGATGTTCATGTATGAGTTGTTTTTTCTAAACTACAACGTCAGTCTTCAGGTTGCATTGCAGTTTGGGCACTTTGCCATAAATAGGTGGGTTTGGGGTTGCAGCTTGGGCTCTTGTCTCTAAAAGGTTCACCATTGATGTTTTATACCAAGAATGAGGAAAAACTGCTCATGAGGTTTTGAACAAGAAAATGATAAGATCTGATGTAGGATATGATGAAGAAGAAATTAAATAAAATAATTTCTAGCAACCAGCCATCATTACAGATATTCATAGTATTCTTTTGAAATGGAAGAAAGAACACCCTTTTATAGATCCTTTACCTTTCTTATCTCAGTCTTCCAAGCATGTCTCTAGTCTGAATCTGTTCTTCTGTCGTCCCTTTGGATAGAGGAGACATTATCTTTGTTTTGTTTTTGTTTGTTTGACATTATCTTTGTTTTGATGGTAGTTGCCCAGAATGTCTTCTCCGCAGATCAAGTAAGACAGCGGTAAGAGGTTATGAAAGAACTGTATAGTAATATAACCTGAATTTAGAAGAAATCTACCTGGATCTAAAGGCTTCACTCCTCTAGCCAAATTCTGTATTCAACAGAGATGACAATTCAGTTCCTTTGAAATAGTAAAACTGGGGAGGAGGGGCGAAGGGAGGGCAGGGACAAGGGGAAAAAATGAGAACCAAGACTTGTCATGTAAAGGTACAAGATCCCAGTAATGAATGTAACTGTACTGTAGACCTAAAATATACCAATAAACTCAATAAAAAGAAAAAAAACAGAAATAGTAAAACTGTTTCCTTGGTTTAAAAGAGAAATGTTTTCCCAATATAAGTATCGCTTTAACAATATAGGTAATTAATTAGAATTAAATATGTATCTACTTTTTTGTTTTGTTTTGTTTTTTGTTTTTTGAGACAGGCTCTCACTATGTAGTTGAGACTAACCTGGAACTCACTATGTAGCCCAGGCTGGTCTTGAACTTGCAGAGATCCTCCTGCCTCAGCCTCCCAAGTGCTGGGATTACAGGCATGTAGCACCACGCCCAGCTCGTTAAATATGTATTTACTTTTGACTTAAATTCAGGTAGAGCACTTGCTCAGCATGCAGGAGGCCCTTGGTTTAATCCCTAACACACACACACACAAAGAAGCTTGGAATAGAGTTTAAAAGCAATTATATGAATTGGATTTATTATTGAGTCTGATTACTTAGAGAATTTAGTCTGTTTAAATTTAATCTGCCAGAAAGTAAACAAAGGGACTAGAATAGGAAGGCAGTGGAAAGGCAGGAGAGGAAACAGGTTGACAGTCCTGACGGAAATCTAACATCTTCATAGTCCCTAATATCTTGGTTCAATAAATAGCATCCCTTGATCATTATTAATCCATTTCCTTGGGTTTTATCTCTGCCAATCTCCTCAGATCCCAAATCTATTTGTATTTCTTTCTGGCTATTTCTTTTCCTCACTTCCTCTGTCTGGCTTTTAGCTACTTGTTGACTCTGAACCCGAATAAACCTCCCTCCATCTGATGTCCCCCATTTCCCAGTTAACACCTTTGTTCTTCCCCTTCTTAATCAGCCTTGAGAGAAGCTACACCAATGGGTCTTCATCATCACCTCAGTCTTGTTCATTCCTCATACATTGTCTGACTTCCTTCCTTCCGAGTTCCCTCAGATTGTGCTTTCCAAAGTCATCAGTGGACCCCTAGTGACCAAGAGCAGTGGCTCTTAATTTAGCCAGTTTCTGTGGTGTTTGACACAACTCCTGGCTCCTTTCTTGCCCGAGTGGCTGGTTTCTGCTGTTCTCTAGCTTTCCTCTAATGCCCGTGCCGGCCCTTCTCCCTCTTCCTCACCCCTCAAGTGCTGGTTCTGGCTGCATTTTTTCTCAGCTCCTTTCTCTTCTTACTCTTTACTCTGGCTGACCAGTTTCCCAGGTATGACAGTAATAAAAGTCAAGTACTGAGTGCCAGACAACTTTGTACATGTTATGTCTAATTCTTAAAATAATAATGTAAGGGTGATAAGAATGTTAGCACCATGGAATGGGTAAACGAGCCAATTGTAGCATTTAGCCCTTTACATAAAAATACCACTGCACCAATTTAGAGGTTATAAATGGAGGCCAGGAAAGCCTGTGTGACTTTCTTACTCCATGCAACGTACGGCAGACCTCAAATTCCAATTCTAGGTCTTGGTCTGCCTGTTTACCTCCACTCCACACCATTCTTTGTATCTCCAGGCCCCTTACACTCAATAATCCAGACATGGTCATCTGGATGTCCTAGGGACACCACAAAATCAGCTGTCCCAGATGGAGTTCATTCCGTTCTTCCCACCCTACATATTCTTTTTATGACCTCTGTTAAGCAATAATCATTCCTTAGTCCTAGAGGCAGGAGGACCACTGGAGTTCAGGAGTTCAAGACCAGCCGGGGCAACAGTGGTTTTTATCTAAAAAAACCGAAACAATAAAAATTCCTTAGCTCAGCAGTCCAGGACTCAGTCTAAATGCTTTTCTTCCTTAGATTCCTTACTTATTTCTGAAGCTTCTTCTTTCTCACCCTCTTCTCACCCTCATTTCTTCCAATTGGCCATCCATGGGTTGTCTTCTCTCTGTACCCTGCCCGTTCGCTGGTTCTGGCTCCATCATCTACTTGCTGGCCATTGAATTAGCCCGCACTCAGCTTCCCTGTCACAAAATCTTCCCTGCCCTGGTATTCCTCCATGTTGCTGTTACCTCCATTAAAAAATCCTAAATGGATTTTCAGTGGCGCTAGGAGCGAGACAAATCATCCTACCAATTCCCCATCTGTCTTTCTGTTACCTCTCACTTCTCACACACCTATTATGATCTTCCCATGCTGAATTAATTGCAGTTTCCTAAATGCTGTCCAGCACTGTCCAGAACAACTCTGCAGTGATAGAAATGTCCTACATCTGTGCTGACCACTACGGTAGCCATAAGTGGCTACCGAGTACTTGAAATATGACTAGCACAACAGAACTGGATTTTATTTACTGTCATCTGATTTGAATTTAAATAGTCACATGTGGCTGGTGGATTCTATATTGACTGGCATAGCACCTTACATCCTTGCTTCTCACTGGGAAGTTTGTGAGACATGCAGACTTTCAGTTCTCGTCCTTTATCTGTGTATTCATAATCTGCATTTCAACAAAATTGCCAGGTGACTGGTATGTTTCTTAAAGTTTCAGGAAGCCCTGCTCTGAACTGTGTCTCTGATGTCCTTGCTTTTGTGGTTTCTGTCCTCTTTGTCTGGTCTTCCTGTCACCTCTCTTTTGCTGTTTAACTCCTACTTATTCCTCAAGATCCAGCATTTACAGTCACAGCACACTTATGTGGTTATCTAGAAGGCAAGGGAATAAGGGGAGGTGAATGAGAGAATATGATGAAACCACACGTATCC